GTCTTGCATATGCCCTTGAGGAATGGTTCTTAGGGATAGGGCCTCTTGGGTAATAATCAGAGTTCCTGGGTTAAAAGTCCCAGGAAATCAAACCCTAATCAGGATGGATTACACTGGCAAACTGTAAGATTTCTTTGGGTTTTTTTTAACTTCAAAACTCCCAAAGAGGACAGGGAATATACGAGGAATGACTGACAAGCTATAAGCAAAAGAAAAATAACATTAACGTATACAACATCTCCGCCCGCCTCGGCCTCCCAAAGTGCAGGGATTACAGGCGTGAGCCACTAATAAGGCCTAGTTCTTATATTCACCTCTAGTTTCTCCTCCCTACGGAAGCAGTGACCACAGCAGACTGAAGCAGCTAAGGGGGTTTTCTAGACTTACTTGGATTGAATTCTCTTTTGCATGCTCACTGTTGTTTTTTTCTTGCTTGATTTGGTTTGAGCTGAGATGTCCAGTCTTTAGGGGAGGACTGTTATTTTGGAGACTTGCCTCCGTCCAGCTAGCTCACTGGACGGGCTGTGCTCACTGTGGCCCCCTGACCTGGATGAGTCGGTCAGCACACTCTCAAGGGGTCCTGTCTCTTTCTGCATGGGTGGCTGTCTTTGCAAGAGCTGTGATGGTGGGTAAAATGTTCAAAGCCCCATAGGCAGGATGAAATGCACCATTGTCTATTTACTTAACTCAGTGGTGTCTGACGTAAGACCACAGAACACACCTTCTTTCCATGACCCATCTTGCCTGACCCTACCTGCTGGCAGTATGTTGCCAGCAACCTGGATATTATTGTTAATTAATTCATGCCTAACATGCAGTGACTTATACTTGGTATTACTGACTATCTAAGAATAGGCACAGCCTGGAATTGAGAAGTGAAAACTGCAAAATGGCTGGGTGGAAAAAATGATGGGACATAGAGCAGGCCTTTTGGTGTTTTCCCTGTAGTTATCTTTTACAGGTTAAATAAGATTAATATTCATGGTGAACCAAGAGCAATTAGCTACTTTGCATGTGTTACTGCTTCTTAGCCTATTCTAAACTCTGTTTTATGTATTTATTTTAAAGGACTTTGCCTTGATTAGGGCCAATCGTATAAGACCTTGTATTTTGCATATTTGCAATCATGTTTGCATGTTTGCATTTCTAAAGTTTTGAATTTCAAATCAGGCAACGAGTTTCAGCAAATATACTTCAGGTACACATGACCATAATCAGGACATGAGACTATACTACAATAAAATCCCCAAATGGCCTCTAGGGATAAAATATTTTATGTTTTCTATTTATAATAAAAATTTGGGGTGAGAGTTGGCTTTATTTTAAAAACAGAATAATTCAGAATATAATTTAAATGCAAAATTGCAAACTAGTATTTTTTCTAATTATATTCAAAACCTGAACCCCCTGACAGGAGCAAGGGAAGGTTGGAATATTCTTATCCATAATGATGACAGAATAACAGGCCTTTCCCCTTTTCTTTCCTCTTCTTCCCTGGGACCGCAGTGCCCGCTGTCACGCACCTATCACTTACGCTCATACTGTTTTCCAGGATACTTGGCCAAGGCATCTTCTAACATGTTCTAAGATGATTTCAGAAATAATTTTTATCAGATCATAGCTAATCTTTCTAACAGATCTATGAGGTAAACATCCCAGGCCCACTCGCTATAAATGTTAGTGCTCCGATTTTTATCCAGATTTTTTTGACTTTTAATCAAGGAC